GACGATTGTAGAATATTTATTTTACCACGACATTTCGACGGCGAGTTTTAAAATGCAAGTTTTGAAACTTATTTTCGAAGACGATTTTTGTAACTATTTTTAGGACAGGCGATGTTTTCTCCCGATGTTTTGTAGCACGACGCGTTTGCCTTGCGTTGTTTTTATCCGCGACGTTCGTCCGGATGTTTTGCTGTAACCGTCCAGCCTTAGCAAGGAAAATCGGGTTGTTGTCCCAACAACGTGGATGACCACGACAATGAAAATGCAACCGAATATTTTATCTTTTAGGTTTTTCGTCTTTTTGAATGTCGATAATGATATACAGAGATGAAATACATTCAGATCCCAAGATGAAAGGGAGCAGTACAAATGAGATAGTCTGAAACAGCATATTTGTTCAGAGACCCATTATGGGAGTTAAGCACAAAAGTTCAGCTATAAAACGGACATCATCTCTAATTCTAATTGAAATGCTAAATTCAGACCATTTGAAGACAACAAATGCGAGACCAACTTTGCATCAATTGTGCCTTCAGTATAGCAAGTTAGGGAATCATCTACTTTTACGCTAAACTAATAAAATTAACAGCATTTCTGAGGAGAGGAGATCAGATGGAGGTAATAAAGACAATCATACTGAGGAGGACAGAGCTGTAGAAAATATCCTTAAAGCATAGCTGAAGAATTTGCATGTCATTGGAGGAAAGACGAAATTGCAAAACGACTCATAGCTAACGGACGAACCACATAGACCGCAGAAGTATACGCCTTTGAAGCGCGTAAATTATATATTTATCTCTCTTGAGCGATATATCCGATTTAGAGCCTACATAATGAAGGGTGAAATTCTGTTTAGCGAATGAACATGCAATAATACGTATGTTTGCGTGCATACGACTATCACGCTGTAATTTATCACATTTTCTGACATAAGTTAAGTGTTGTCCAAGAAAATTCCAGTCGAGAAAAACCTAGATTTCATTGTTTACCACATCAAAGGGGTGCAGTCGAGAGATAACTGAAATGCATCATAACAGATGTTTCTCTTTTCAATAATCATAACCCTGGTTTTATCACAATAATTCATTTAACCTTTCGCGTTAAAAGAAAACTTATTTATTTAATTTTACCTAAAATTGCAATTTTTTGACATTTTAATTTTTATTACCATTTTTACTTCCTTGCACAAAGTAAAGGAAGGGTTGTAATCGCGAATAATTAGGGTTTCGGATTTCAACGGAAACATGCATTTTGACTGCTTTTTGCATGACGTTCGAACGTACGGACAGAATAAAGGGCTCTTTGTTCCAAAACGGATTTTTTCGTGACGTTTGTATTGATGTATGTATCTGGCATAACTCAAAAACGATTAGCCATAGACTATTGAAATTTTGTATTTGGGACAGTCATACCATCAAGTTGTGTACCTCCCTTTTTTCTTGCAATCGACGATACCAAAAGTAGAGAAGAGAGAGAGAGAGACTCAACTTCTTTATCTAGTTATATAAATATATATTATTATTAGAAAAGTTTTTTTTCGTACATCATTTCCAACAAACAGAAATTTAATTAAAACGATGAGCTATTAGAATAAATTTTAGTCAGTATTTTAAAGCGATAAATTATTGCAATAAGTTTTAGTCAATATTTAAAACTGTTTAGATTTCTTTCGTAGTAAAAATTATTTAAAAACTGTGTAGAAATATTATTTTGAAGCCTAAAAATTTTGAACAGTAAAAATAAAAAGTAAAATTTGAAGTACTGAAAAACCCACAGGCGGTAAAAATTGCTGAACACTGGTAGTTCGGTCTGAATTTCGAATCTCATCAAAGGCTTTCGCCATGTGTAACGACGTGCATACGAGCCAGTTTTCATTAAAAGGTCCTTCACGAAGGCATTCCTAACCTTAGGCAGACAGCCCTCGAGGCCTTGCCTAATCACATAAACCAAACCTAAAGTACTGAAAGAGATGAAGCCGTGTTCATTGATCATTGATTAGTTGACTGTAACACACCAATGCACTATCAAATAACAATAACCAAATTATATATATTCTTCTAGCTGTTATTCATATATTAGTTCTATATTCAGATAGAGATAAGTTAGTTCTATATTCAGATATTAGTTCTATATTCAAATAAAGGTAAGTTAGTTATATAGTCAGATATTAGTTTTATATTCAAATAAAGGTAAGTTAGTTATATAGTCAGATATTAATTCTATATTCAGATAGAGCTAAATAGAAATAACGGAATACAGAATCATCTGCTGATGAAAATTCAGAAACAGAATTAATCAATTAAATTAACATAAAGGTATTCAGATCCGCCCAAAACAACAGAATATTAAATCATCAGCTGATGAAAATTTCATCAGAGAATTAATAAATTAAATCAAAACAATATTTTTAGGATCTAAGAACCAGTATCTAAGAAAAGAGTATCGAAACTGCTACCTTCGTTTAGTAAGCTTACTGTTCTAGAAAAGGAGCCTGTTTACTTATAGCATTTCTAATCGAATGAAAATCTTAAAGATTTGAATCTGGCATTGTACTCTCATTTTCGATTTATGTTTCTTTTCGACTAAAAATTATGCAGTAAGGATTTCACTGTCTCATAGTTTCAGTATTTTATAATATATGAATTAGGTTAAATCTTTTACCGAATTACATAAAATCGAATCATTAATAAAATCATCGCAACATTACAAAAGCAATGTAAGTATACTATTAAGCTATCTAACGTCGATGTATTAATAAAATCGTGGCAACGATACAAAAATACTATAGATGTAAACATTAAAAATATGCATAAAAATATTACAAATATGAGACTGCTTTAAGATATATCATAAGAGTAAAGTTTCATAACTTAATGTTATAGTTTAAATTAAACACTGTTCTGTGAAAAAGTTATATCCGTTTTGAAGAGTAGAGTATAGTTAGCCTACTATACCAATGAATCGAATCTCTGATGATATTTATAAGTCAAAAAAATTAGCCAGTTTATTTACAGATTAGAAACAACAAAAAACTGGATGCCGCTGAAATGAAAATAAAGGTGGTTTTTTTCCCTTTTTCTTTTATATATATATATTAAATTTTTTTTCTATCCTCGGAAAAAAAAACTGGGTTGTGCGCTATACAATATTTCCGATTATATGCAAAAGTTTAAGTAAAATATTTTTGGCCCAAGGTCATTAGTTTCAAAACGGCATTTCGCGTCTATTCGCTTTTCAAAGTGTTGCCACCAAATACTATCACATTCAGTATATTTAAAGAAACTAAATGATGAATAATTTGCATGAATGCTTCTCGCGTTGTGAAGAAATAACAGTACCTAGAGCCATCAAATTTTGAATAACTTAGCCCTCCAATCGAACATGGGCACTCGGAAGCCCGAATTTTGAATTTGTTTTATTATCTATTTAAAGTTTAGTAAAACTTCAACGAATTTTTGATTAAGAAACTCAATGATTTCAAAGCGAACAATGGCAACACTGTACGAAAAAAACAAAATATATTTATCTCCAACGCGCGAAACTTTGTATCGCAAATTCTAAAGTTATGCTTTTTTAAAATTATTTTGTGATATTGCTGTTGAACTGAATTTTATGATTTAAATGCGAAGCACATGATATTTAATAAGCAAGGTAATACACAAAACGCTAAAAAACGCCCCTTTGGGTCTAATATAAAATCTGAAAGCTTTCAGATTTTTTCCCCTATTTCTTATACATATGAACATGAACAAAAGCTTGCATTTGAATTTATAAATCAGGAAGAAAGTGGTCGAGAGAGCTGATTATATGTATAATACATGGATTCTCATTGTGTTCTATGAAAGACCACAGAGCAAAACGTGAATAGCAAATTATGAATGCAGTTTCAGAAAGATTTTCCCCTTCCCATCTTAAATGCAATTAATTACATGAAAATTCCTTAGAACAAATTTTCTCCATAAACAAACTTCGCGTATAGCACACTTTTTTAAAAGCATAAAAAACTCAACGGTTCAGGGAAACATTACTGAAGTTTTTATCAGAATAAAATGTCACTTCTTATAAAACCTACTTTCTAAATGTAGAAAAAAAAAAAAAAATCTGAAAGTTTTCAGATTTTAGATTACGCCCACAAGGAATTTTTTTTAACGTTCTGTGTGTTGCCTTTATTTGTTAAACATCACGTTCTTGCAGTTTTCTGCGCCAAAAAAAAACAGCCTTCTTGTCTGCTGGCAATTTTTTTTTTTTTTTTTTTCTTAAAAACTTTAATTTTAATTGTAACAAAGTCAAAGAAAAAGAAACTGAAAGGTTTCAGATTTTAAATTACGTCTAAAGGGGCGTTTTTTTAACTTTTTGTGTGTTATCTCTATCTATTAAATATCACGTTCTTTGCACTTAAACCATAAAATTCAGTTCAACAGCAATGTTGCAAAATAATTTTAAAATGAGCATACTTTTAGAATTTCCAATACACAGTTCCGCGCGTTGGAGATTTTTATAAAGATATTTTCGCCCCATAATGTTGCCATTGCTCGTTTTTAAATCGTTGAGTTTGTTAAGCAAAAATTCGCTAACATTTTACAAAACATGAGATAGATAATAAACAAAATTCCAAGTTTGGGCTTCCAGATGCCCATATTCGAAGGAGGATTAAATTATTCAAAATTAGATAGCTCTAGGTACCGTTGTTTTATCACAATGCAAGAAATATACATACATTGATACATTTATGCAGATTCTTCGTAATTTAATTTCTTTAACTATAACACAGGGCTATGGTATTTGGTGGCAACAGTTTGAAAAGTGATTCATACATTAACAGCGAATCAACGCAAAATGCCAAAACAAAATTAATAGTTCTTCTTAGCTAACACGCCTTTGGGCTAATAATAATAATAAAAGAGAAGATGAAAAATCATTTAAAACGCACAAAAGTGGCAGCCATATTAAGAGTTAGTTATTCATTTAACTCATTGAACGTATAAAGGACTGGAACTTACCTTCCTTATAAGCTCACTTTAATAATTCTGTTTACTTACTAAAGCGAAGAGCAGTTTTATTAAGGGAAGCGTTTGACCTCAAGGGTATGTCATTTTCAAGGAGGGAAAAGTGGTTGTTATTCCGGTTTTTTACCTTCGACTATGTTATCAGTGCTTCCCTCCCCCGATAAAGAAAAATTCCTGGAATAGAATTGCTCCATAAATGCGACATTAACGTGTTTTCTGCATTGGATTTTCTTAATAGTTTTGGAAATGTTCCATTGTTTTTCATTAATATTGGTCAGGAAAGTGTTGCCCAACACAGTAGATTATATTTTAAATGTTGTATGTAGAAATTTGTTTAATTTGAATATATATTTATATGAAACTATTGCATATTTTATGAAGATTTATCAGCACACAAATTTTTTTTAAAACAAGAAGTTTATATTGAACACTTAAATTTCATGTAAGTAATAGTAGTTAATTGCTGATCAAAATTTCGTGAAATCCTATGGCAGGAAATGCTGTAGATAGTTTATTGCATTGTCTTGGATTGCATTTATATTAATCAAAGTCCAAGAAGGTCTCGCATTAAATATACTTTAAAATTAATGCATATGAAAACATTCTACGTAACAGATTAAGAGTGACTTGATGTACAACAGTTAAATCTGATCGCCACTAATGATGCACATCAACTTGCTAACTTAAATAAATATTAAAGGAAAAAAAATCTGAAAACTTTCAAATTTTATATTACGCCCAAAGGGGTGGCTTTTTTTTTTTTTATTATTATTATTTTTTCATTTGCACATCCATATACGTTCCGAAAGCATTCGGGTTAACGCCCCTTTGGGCTAAAAATATTTAAAAATAGCATATCTTTAGAATTTCGGATAGACAGTCTCGTTCGCATTGACATTGCTCGCTTGGAAATTGTTGAGTTTCTTAATCAAAAATTCGTTAAAGTTTAAAAAAAAAAAATAAAACAAATTCGAAGTTCAAGATTCAGGCTTCCAGATGCCCATACTCGAGTGGAGGACTACGTTATTCAAAATTTTATGGCTCTAAGTATTGCTGTTTTTTCACAATGGGAGAAACATACATACATTCATGCAGGAACTTCATTATGGAATTTCTTTAAATATAATACAGGGCGATAATATTTAGCAACAATTTAAAAAGTTGTAGAGACGTTAGGTTATTTCGAAGCAGGAGAGATGAAAAATGAGCAATGCCCTCGCTGGAACTAGAACCTCGGACCTCTTGAATACGTGCCAAGCGTGCTGGCCATTAGACCACGAAGACATGCTAAGGAGGAGGGATAAATACCTTATATACTCCCCCTTTTAAAGGGCGACTGGGGATTAGGGGACCCAGTCGCCAAGCTCTGGTGGTAGAAAATTATCACTCACCACCTTTTTTAGTTGGGACGTTTTTTAGTTTTTTTAGTTTTAGTTAATCACCACTTTTTTTTAGTAGAGACATTAGATTTTTTTAATGCAGGAGTCATGAAAAATTATCAGTGCCCTCGCGGGACTCGAACTTCTGACCTCTCGAATACGCGCAGAGCTTGCTGGCTATTACACCACGAAGGCATGCTAAGAAGGCGGGAGAAATAACTTATATACAGGTATTTATAGCGATTCGACACAAAATGCCGGGGCTAATGCTCCTTTGGGCCAAAAAATTTTATAATTTTGGAAATTTTTCCTTATTCATCCTTTAAATTTTCCGTTCACAGGCATTCGTAATTTCGTAATTTCGCAAGCTTATATTACATAAAATATATATTCATTAGCAGAATATATGCCAACGAACATGGGCGTAGACAGGATCCGACCCAGGGTATTTTGCAAACGATTTTAGATTCAGAAATTAAATAAGGACTGAGCTGAAATATGCCTGCCAGCGGTCGAGTGGAGAGACAGCCGAGCACTAGTAATCCGGCCCAAAAGCTCAAATCGCGTCAAACATCTAATTGCATGAGAATTTTCGTGGTTTTTCTCAAATATTCGTGTAAGATGATTAATTTGTCTGAAAATCCTCCAAGTATACACTCCTTCCCATAGCTGCAATCGAAAAATCGCATGTTTTGTCCAAATCGAAAAAGCGAATAAATAAACAATTGACTAGAATACATAAGGAAGTAGATTATTGAAGTTCGGAGAATAGGAATAAAGAGGCTCCTAAACTTTCTTTAACTTATAACTACAAGAATTTTAACTCTGTCTGCTCTAAACCTCTCTAGAATCTCCTTCACTTATTTCGATTTTTCTTTCCTGAACTAGCTTTTAATATACACTCAGTATATATAGATTATATATGTATTCAAATGATTATCAGTCACCGTTGAGAACAACCAAATTTGTATTCTGTTCAAGGCACTTCAAGCATGGTTGAGACAAAGAAATAATGTTTAGTTTGTTTTTTTCGATTAAGAAACACAAGAGGGCTATTTGCCTAAGGGAAGTGATACCTTCGGGGTGGAAAGGGAAATTGACTCGTATCTACGTTTACCAGTTAACTGTTATGGACGAGTATACTCGTCATTTTGTGTATTGACGAGTATACTCGTCATGCGTATAAAGCAGTGCAAGCAACGCGCGTATAAAGCAACGTAATAGAAACAGAGAAAAGAAAAATAATAACTAAGAAACCGGAGCTAGTGATTGATTATAATACAAAAAATGGTTGGAGTGGATATGAGCGATGAAATTATCATAGCGTACTCCACAGCAAGAAAACCACTCAAAAAGTACTATAAAAAGATATTTCTCCATTTCTTAGACATTATGTGTCTGAATGCATTCATATTATATAAAAACAATAATGGAACATGATCGCATATCGACCTTGTGCTCAAATTTATTGAAGACACTTTTGGAACGTATCCAATTGAAAGAAATAAATCGACACAAACTCGGCCATTTAAGACCTAATATAAGCCAATTAGGCGGGAATCATGTTCCGGATTATCTACGCGGAACATAAAAAAAAAAAAAAAAAAAAAAACAACCCTACGCGAAGGTGTTCGCATTGCTACAAACGTAAGATCAGGAAGGAATGGCGTTACTGGTGTTCGATTTGCAAAGTCCCATTGTGTATAGTACCCTGTTTCGCTGAATATCACTCCACAGCATCAGGAATTTAAACTCTTACTTTTATACGTATGTATTTAATTTAATTGATAGCGTTTTTAGTTTAAGTTTAATAAGTATGTAATACATGCTTATGCTAACCAATATAAGTAAATATTAGTAATAAAATTTTCAATTTTATAAAATAAACCCATCTTTTTCATCCAGTATCTTACTAGCGCAACGTACTCTGTGATTGACGAATATACTCGTCATGGCTCAATTATGGCGATACAAAACGGTACGCGCTCTTAAACGAGGGCGCCACAGTTAACTGGTTAAATATGATGAAGTCCACAAAAACGTCCATGCAGCCAGCCGATTGGCCCATTCGCTGGAATTGGAACCCGGGTCAAACTACCAGTGTTCAGCGACTACCGCTCGATGGCTGGTAGGCGACAAAGAAATAAGAAAACATACTTTTTTGTGGATAAAAATCGAAATTATCATGGAGTCTTCTTCCTCTTATCTGTTTCAGATTGTCAGTCTTTACTTACTATCTCCCAAATTTGAGCCAAAGCTCTCTCCCTTTTCAAAATTTTCTTAAGTCATGAACGTGACGAAACCCCGCACTTTTTTCCTAAACTTTTCACCTGCGTTTTTCTGGCATCTTTAACATAACCACAGGAAAACAACAGTGAAATAGTTGCTAATAAAATGCCACTGGAATATCCTTTCCCCTTTGATAAAATTATAAAGAATCCAGGTACGTAATTAATAGAAGTTTTTTCTAAAATTCTTCAACTTCAGACGTTGAAGCATTTGGAAGATATTGTTGCTCTTACAACCTCCGTTATTTGCAGTTCCATGGCAACGATTTGAGTTACATACTCGCCGATGGCAGAATAACCTGCGTAAAGTATCTGTTGCTTTAGGTTCTTTCACAAGCGTTAAGAGTCTATTAATGTTCTTCACATATAATACCAAACTCAAATTTCTTGATTGTAAAGTTTTAGTATAGGTGTCTTCAACCAGTGGCCCGCGGGCCACGAAGGGCCCGCTGAAGGCATTTTAGTGGCCCCGCATTTCAATTTGAAGAAAAATTGAAGACTTAAAAAAAAAATTTTGATTTCAAGAAAAATTGCCTTGTGAGCTTTTTGTCGTAAAACAAAATTCATTTTCTCTTATTCTTAATATTTGAAACATTTTATTGACATGCCTGATATTATTTGAGATAATTTTTTCTAAAAATGACGAGTTTTTTAAAAATTTCACTTTATCTTATGTATTTTAAAAATTAAAAATTTGACTACGCATAAAATCTCAGTTCCCTAAAAAGGGTCAATTCTTATCTCTGTTGTAAAAGTGGTTAATTTCATTCGATCTAAAGTCTAGCTTAAACAGAGGCAATTTCAACAGTTCTTGAGTGATTTGGACGCATAATATAGTGTACAGAGGCTGTTCGCACATTTTCTAGACGATTTTGGTAAGCGGTAATAAAAAATCGTTTGCTGCAAAAGAAGTAATTGAAATTGTACTATGTTTTTAAAAGTCAAAAATTATCGTCTGTGGCTTGAAAGTTTTGTTTTTATTCAAAATGGCGAATTTAACAAAGCAGTGGTTCGAAGGCTACATTTACGCTTTTTCCGAAGAGAAATAGGCATACTCCGTTATCCAAAAACGATGTGAGAGTCACGGGTTTTGTGATATTTAAAGCTTGGACAGGTAATATCATCAACAAGAAAAGAAAAAAACGTCAAATTGGAGCCTCAAGTGGGACAAAAATTCCAAACAAGTATCCAAGGGAAAATCGGACATCTTCGACTATTGCAAAGGTACGGTGTTTAATGTTAAAAGAAAATCCCCCTAGTCGAAGGACAGTTGCAATATCATTAAAATTCTCGGTGTTCACTGAAAACAAAATGATAAAACGTTGATTTTTAAATCTTAAGAAAGCGAAAAAACGCAATGTGCATCTTCTTCTTCCAAAGCATATCGCTCAACGCAGGACACGCTGCACAATTCTATATGAGAAACGCTTATCCGAAGAAAAATGGAAAA